CTACAGAGAATATATATAAATAAATAGAACTCTTGATATGAACTTCAATCGTTCTTTATTACTTTAAAACCTTTATCACAGACATTAAAAATAACACAACATATTTATTTTTTATTTTAAGAAACAAACCATTTAAAATAGTAATTTCTTGCATATCAGACTGGCGTTTCCGTTAGTTTTACCCATGCCGGAAATTTCATCTGGCATGGGGGTTCCAGATGAGTCGCATGCTGTACAATGGCACGATAAAGATGACGTCATTTTACCGTTATGAATGATTTTGTAATTCATACGCTGTTGAATGAAAGTAGTTACGGTTGTAATGATATAAATTTTCATTGAAAATAAAGATAAAGAATTTAAAATATAATGGAATATGGTAGAATATGCAAGAAAAAATATCTGACATATGTTTGCGGTTCGGATCGGAATATCCGTCCCTCGGTCACCCGCCCATGTGCGGTAACTCGGCAAGCCTCGTTACCGCCCAATGGGCGGGTCACCTCGGGACGGATATTCCGATCCGAACCGCAAAATATGACAGATATTATTAATCTTGATGATATGTCTCGAATTGTAATGCATCCGAAAGGACATTTAAATATCAAATTACTTTTTTTTTCTTAAGGCCATTGTCATGTTATTTCATTTGTTTAGAATTTTACGATTTTAAAAGTAACTAAAGGACAGTCGAAACAACAAGAGGACCATGATGGCCCTGAATTGCTCATCAGTGTAAGTAATAACTTTAACATTGAACTTGCCGAAAGGCAAGTCCAGCAACTTAGCCCTCTGATTATATAGTTGCAGGACACTGATCGTTTATAATTAAAACGAAGCTTTCACAAATTGCCGAAGTTCATTGATACTGTACATCTGGCAATTAAAACATGTCAAATCGCTTTAATCTACTTTTTTTTTATACTGGAACATTTTTATAAAAAACAATACCTAAAAATGCTGCAGACAAAGTTTGGTGATCATCAGTCATTTAGTTCATGAGAATGTGTCTTTCCTATTTTAGCTATAGAGGCTCTTAAAAGAAACCATTTAAATTAATATGAGCAATATTGATACAAGACTGCCTAAGAATGTTACGGACAAAGTATTTGGCCATCTTACAATTAGTTCAGTAGAAGATGTTTAGTTTTTGTTCTATTTTTAGCTTAAGCGACACGTAAAAGGCGCCAATAAAATTAATATTAGAAAATTTGATATAAGAACAACTGTGGCGATCATTAATCAATTAGGTCAGTAGAAGATGTTCAACGTTTTTTTTTTCTTTTAGCCGTGTTGACCCCTACAAGGGCGCAATTCACATTATATGAGCAATTCTAAGAATGACTGTTACAAGGAGTCTACAGACCAATTTTGAAGTATCTGTCCAGCAGTTTCAGAGGATAAGACGACAATGACGGAGACCGACGGACGCCGGAGAATCCTTCTTTGATATTTATAGCTCACCCGAGTCCGGTTCTGGTGAGCTAAAAACAACAGCAAGTAAACAACAAAGGCATCGCTGCAAAATATTAGTCATTTTATTTGGAATGAGACAAGTAGGGACTTATAAAGTGCATGTAATATTTTAACATGTGCAGACATTTCATATGAGCAAATGAACAATTGTGTAAAAAATAATTTAAATGAACTAAAAGAGTACACGCATATTTAAAAATTATAAAGAAAAACGGCAACTTTAACAAAGATAGGAAAATGGACATGAACGTGAAAAAAGCGGAAAACGCATCAATTGTGTTACATAAAATAACAAGAAATAATTCAGAGACTTAGACAATGTTGGCAGATTATTTTGAGATATGAATTAAAAACATTTAACATCTTAAAGAATAACGTCCGTAAATAAATCAATCTTTTTTTCTTAACTTTATACAACATGTTACGCCCAAACCTTTTTTATAGAAATGTCTTCATCATTAACTTATCAAAGGTAAAACAATAATTAAATAATCTTAGGAACTCTGCCTCAAACAATAAACAATATTTGTCGTTTGTGAGATTATCATATGATGCGTTTGTAGTTCCATATATAAGTTTATTATTCAGGAATATGCAATGCAGTTAATAATTCACATTGATAAATCATGTGATATCGGCATTTATTTCATGGACACCTATGAAATAAACTAAACTATAAAACATGTCCATATTATCCTATTACATCAAAAATTAATTAGCAATGCTAGAACATGTCAGACATTTCAAATAATAAATTTACATTTTACACTATTAAAATATCATTTTAATTAAAAGAATTTGAATGGGAGTTACAAGGAAAATAAGTAAAACATACAGATGATTATTCATCATAAAAAAGCATTCTCTATAATGTTTGATACAGTTCTGCTGTTTTTGTTTATTCAGATGAAAATACTTTGAGGTAAGTTACTGATTCAATATATAGAAATGCTGCATCAAATGTTTACAGTTCTCATTTTAACCTACCAATACGTGATGCATTATGAGTTGCTTATTTAAATTCAACTGTTACGCAATAATTGAATGAATAACTGCCAAGTTCCGGGATTTCATACAATGAATTATTAGGAAAAGTTAGCTGTACTGGCAACAAAGTCATTAAGGTACATGCTTGTTTTTATTAATAAAATAGTCATATTTAATACATGATTGGGACTGAAACAATGAATGACAGATTCAACAAACATAACGCATTCGTAATAATGAAATTAGTGAAAAAAATGTATTTAAGTTGTTTTATTGGAACGCATCAATGACATCTTTGTCTTCTTTGTTTTATCAATTTTGCTTACAAAATGCAAATGATTTAACCTATAGTCGTAAATATAAATGTGCTGCGCAATTTAATGTCATTTCCTTAAACTCCTAAGTATTAATGTAAATACGCTATAAAGCTTTGTTTCTAAATCCCAGAAAACAGCCTCAACTTCAGTCTAATCAGCATTTATTTTGCTGGCATATTTCCATACACAAAATGTAAATGTCAAGAAAGAATAAAATAACAAAATGACAAATTCCTCACGTTATAAATACAATGCAAGGCAAGTCTTTTTTCTGAGCAATAACAATGTCTGCAATAGCAGGGAAAATACATTTTAGCAAATTACATAATTATGAAAAGCATCAAATGTTGGGTGCTAACCGCCATTACATTTAATATCTTTTTGTGACAGTAATCCCTATGATTTTGTTTCATATTCATGTGTAATAATATATTTACAATTTCTCCTCACATTATCTGATTTAAACCGTTCAATTTTCGTCATAAGTATTATCCGTGTGAATCGGTTTATTATAGCAGGCTTGAATCAGTGCGCTCTTTGGTTTCCTTCTGAACTTATCATCTGCCTTTTTTACGAACTTTGTTGTTTCTTCACTTATATTTGTCTTAATTCCTGAAATTTTCTCATCAGTTTTCTGCTTAAATTTTGAAGTTTCATCTGCAATTTTGGTTCTTAACTTTTTCACTTTTTCTTCAGATTTGTGTTTGAATTTTGACGTCTCGTCAGCAATATTTGTTTTGATATCGGCTACTTTTTCTTTAGCATTTCTATGTGCTTGCTTTGCTTTGTCTCCTATTTTCTTCTTTGCTTCACCAACTTTTTCTTTTAGCACGTTACAGCGGCAACATTAAAAAATTCAATAGCAACATTAATACACATAGAGACAAGCGACAAGCCAATGAACATGTAAATTGACGAGACAACGAAGAACTTTTGATGAGCTGGCAAAATGTCTCCAAACCAATCGTTGACAGTGATATAAAAACAAAATAAATAGCTTCGATGAAATCCCAGTCTTCCCAAATTGAATACAATCATGGCACCAAAGTAGAATATATACAAACAAGATAAGAATAGCGATCAGTGATAGGTACGTTGAACTCGTCATCCACTTCATAGCCGTATATTATCCTTGAGCCGCTTCGACTTCTATCATCGGATTTACCGTCTTCACTTTTGGGCTTCGTCATCCGGGAGATGATCCATTCATTAAGTTCGTATTTTCTCTGGAACGGATTTCGTTCCCTTACCTTTTGCAATAGCCGTAATAGTAATATCTTCTTACGAAGGCCCATAAAAATTTAAGTGCCATTGTAAAATCGCTTACCCAATTCTGCCAAGAGAAGCAGGGCAAGGGGAACACCAAATGCCAGCATAAATTATGCATAAAACTCTCCCAAGTCCAGTTACTGGAGCTAAATTCCATAACCTGGAAACCCATAAAATATATATTTTAGTAAAAGAAGAAATTCATTTTATATTTAATATTTATCCTTGATCTACATATACACTATACAAGCTGAACAAAGGCTTTAAAATATAATTTATGAACTTATTAAATTGTATCAATGTTGTTCTTATCAAAGTCTGTCATTTAAAAACGTGTATGGCGTTGTCTATGCAACAAAATGAAGAAACTACCTGTGACATATTAAGGCTGAAAATAATAATTTCATAACTTTGCAAGAAAGTTACTCTAAGATGTTGATTTAAAATATCCAAGACAATATTATTTTTATTTTATAACATTAATTCAATGCTACCAGAACATTCCTAAACAATCGAAATTCATTGGTATGTATTTCGAACGATCCATATTTGAAAAAAAAACAACCATGTAATTACGTAGCCTGTGTAAACAGACAGTAATCAACACAGTTACAGGGTACATTACCGATAGTTGTAAATTACTGTAAAAACAAAGAATAAGCTGCTCCACATTGTCCAAACCTCTACGGTAGAATCAGAAGGCACATGTTCTTAATAGCATCCCGGATTGGAAACTTTCGGTAGTTAAGTAACAATGCTTTTGTATGATTTTTCCAGCGTCTTTTTGTCAGTTATAGGGGCAGATTTTATTAATAATTCTTGAATCATGGTTGTCCGTATTCCTGTGATATTTTGATTTATTTCGTTATGTCTTGACTCAATCAACATAAATACAAGCGCACCAATTAATGCGTAATGCTATACAAGAATAATGGCCAGTCATCCACTAACGATCTAGCTCCTTTGTAAACAGCTTTTAAAAATTCTCTTTGCCTTCCAAAGGCATGAATTGTCAAGATTTTCAGTCGATTCATTATTTTCGAACTCTCACCATCGTGAGCCTCTAATGTTTCTAAACTGACACTCGTCGCTTTTCCCGTCTTCCATTGTTGTTAACTTTCTAAGCAATACTGAATGCTCTGAAAAAGAAAAGAAAATTTATTTGAGGAATAAAAAAAGCAACAGAGCTATATAATTATAAATCAAAATTTCTTCTGTTATCGTCCGCCTATTCATAGACTATAAACTGTAGTATATAAGATGAATTTTGAGATATAGTAGCTGTAGCTGTAAGGTATATTAATTATATGTAAGCGTAAGACGACAAAAAGTTGTTGCTTTCAATAAATATATTTGTCTTCAGAACGCTTTTCTGTGAGCTGTGAAAACCTCAATAACCATAGGTAATAATTTTGACAATAGATATCACAGACACATTGTTGCAATGTAACGAATTGTTGGCAAAGAATTTCTATTTGCCTCAAGGATTACATTCTTTGGAAGTCATTCATGACGGATATTATCTTCCTTTTTCTAGTATTTTTGCTTGTTTGCTCGCTTGGTTTGTTTTGTTTTTTTTTTCTTTGTTTTATTTTGTTGTTGTTCTTTTTTTTCTTTTGTTTAAAGTGCATTGAAAAGTACCTCATGCACACAATTATAAAAAAGAAAATTGCCCTTATGAAGTGTTTAATATTTCATATCATACAAAAAAAGAATTGATAGTTCTCGGAAGACACTCTTTTTCTATAAGACCAAACTTATTTTTAATAAACGCCAAAGTCATAATAAAAAGTAATACCAACGCACATTCATTAACATTTGAAAATTTAAAATTGAATGTTTTTGGTTTTTTTGGCTTGTGTGTGTATGCGCTCGCGTGTGCGCGTGTGTGCGTGCTTGTGTGTGTATGTCTTGCTTTTTTGTAACATAATATTATATGACACAATAAATGTTTAAATCTAGCAAAAGTACGTGTTCAGTTGCTAGACCTTTCTTAAAAAAAATGATCTGGCCTTTACTATTTATTGGTTTAGTTTGCAATGTAAAGCCAACATATCAGTCTATTTCAATATGTTTATCTATAAATCGTCTATTTGCTTAGACGAACGAATTTTTGTATGAATTTGGTTTAAACATATTAATTTGAGCTCGATTGCGAAACAAGTTCTTGCAACTTATATTAATCACTTTCGAGTCCGCTTCCTGGAACCAACCAGTACTGGTGTCAAATGGAGAAACATGGTCGTGACCCGAGTAGGGCTCGAACCCATGAGCCTTGGGTTGAGAGGCAGACACCTTAACCATTAGGCCACCGCTCCCCTTGTATGATTTTAATGACATGAAATATCTGAAAAATTACACATACTTTTATCAATACGTTATTCGAAAACATCTCTTTCTGTTTATATTACTTATTTAATTGTTTTATTTTACTATACAACATAATCCTAATTATATCGCTTACTTTAGGCCTACTACACATTGTTGCAGGCTAGAATAAGTTTGACCAAATTTACTGTTTTAAAGTATTGTGTTAAAACCTATAAAAACCGGAAAGATATTAACAAGCAGAAAATAAATGATGATGATGATGATGATGATAATATATTAATAATAATAATAATAATAATAATGATAACAATAATTAAATAAATAGATCAATAAATAAATAAATAAAAAACAAATAAATAGCAAAACCCAAAATAAAAACAATACAGAACAAACAAACACAGTCTTATGTACTTTCCAAAAAAAAATCATCTAAAACAATCCTTTTTAATTGTAATCAAATATCAAATTAAACAACACATATATTTTTCATATATCCTTAAGTTACATAACACTATAATTAAACAATTTAAATTAACTAAAATCTTACTATATTCCCCTAAATTAGAGTAAAATACATCAACATCTTATTTCTAGCAACGTTATTTTATGTTATAGCAAATCTGGAAATGCCTCCTCTTTTATAAGTGTATACCGCAAGGTAAATCAATACAGGTGACATTGCATACGTTCGTGAGATGACTGACTGACGAATTTTTACCTATAAACAAGGCTAAACTAGCTCACACTAGAATGATTCAATGTACTACAAGACTGCCGGGTATGATCTAATGTAACCAGAAACAAAATGAGAAGATACTACAAGTAACATCTTCTTTGTCATAAGTCTTAAATGCAAAATTCGACCAAACTGTTTCTTCCCATTTTTGAGTGATTGACAGTCAAGAATTGTAAGTGGCATTTATGATATAACTATGTTCACATAAAATAAAAGCCATCAAGTAAGTATAACTTTTCATACGATGATTCAGTAATGAGAACATAGTAGCATTGGCAATAGATACCTAGAGTAAACGTTTTTACTGCTTGAATCACTTGTTTCAATGAAGTGAGATGAAGTGCTACTAAGGTTTTATGGATGATAAAAATAAGTAATTCTAAAGGTTAATTTTTGCTGCATAATGATGCATAATGATACATTATAACAGACAAACCGAAGCTATGATACAATGAGATATGACAGATATGTAAACTATATGCCAAATACATTTATTTCGATGATTTGGTGAACAATGGGTACAATGGGTATGTTTCTTAAACTTGTAAGCTAATTACTTGCATACATTGACATTTCATTTAAAATATTGTTATTGCTATGTGACCAATAAAAAATCTTAAGGTATAAATTCGCTAAATATTACCAAAAAGTGTCACCGAAATTCTAGCATAAATGTGTTATTGGGATCTTAATGACTTTAACTAAATGAAATGCATCCTATTTAGTTTAAATAATAAACTGTGTTGTATGTTACATTACTTTTTATTATATAATGGTAAGTTAAAAAAATTGTAAAAATGGTAATATACCCCCCGGTTTAAATAAAATAAACCAAATAATGAACGTTAGTATTCAAAATTTAGAGTCTTGCCCTGATATGAATTCAAAAATAATATAAATCTAGGGCAAAGGCTTGTCTATTTAGATTTTTTTTGAGGTACTAAGACTTATTAATAAAGGTAACTGAACATTTACCCCGTGTCAACTTAGAAAAAAAAAGATACTTGGCACATTGGATCTATTTGCACGTTTAAAAGAATTAAAGTGGAATAATTAGATGAAGATATCTTACGATCTTTCACGGCAGAAAAGTACATTGACCTTTATGTGAGAAGAACATTTGTCCTAAAATCCCAATCTTGTAAATGATATATGGAGATAAACAGTATTTATTGACCTCTGGAATTGTTTTAATTAAATAATGGGCAAGTAAAATAAGCGATAACAATCATTTTTAATATATTTCTATGAGCTCTAGTCTTTATGTATTTTGAAAAAGTCGTTTAAATTAGTCCTAAATGTATAATACTGTATATATTTGTACTAAAGGGAACTTTTTGTATTAGAAATTGGTAAGCGTAACGTGTTTTATACATGTTTACAAAAAATAATATCATAATGTATATAATAAACGTAATGTTTTATTTTTGCGACACTTGGCGTTACGTTGTAACTTGGTGTCCCGTCTGTTACATTCTATTAGCGAAACGTATTAAAATAGATACTATTGTTGAAATTTTTATATATGGGGAAATCGTCTGAAACTGAGACTTGCGCTGGGTCAAACAAATCATTCAAGGAATATTGTGGGCTTGAGACACAGTATTAGCCAATCGTGAGAATACATTTCATCTCGATGAAATAAAAATATCCTTTTGCACACCAAAAATATCAGCCATTTTTTTTATCGCGAAGCTAATATGAAGTAAGCATAAGGTAAGAATATTTGAGGACATGTCAAGATAATATTGTATTCTAATATATTTTGACAGCTACTATAATGTTAATATTTTAAATGAAATCATAATGCTACGACTACGGGTGTTCTTTAATAAGTAGTAGAATACTCTTAAATTCGAAAGAACACATATTAAACTAAATGACTTATAATGATTGTATTTTGTTTTGTAAAAGATAAAGATACTAGTACCGAGATTGAAGAAAAAATTAATCGCTTACTCATCTTATATTACACATAATCTTTTCCCTTGTCAGCAATAATTCTTCTAGAATAGTATTGATTTTAGCATTGTTTTGCTTTTTTATAGAAATATTTATTTCACCATAGAAACACTTTGAAAATTTGAAAATAATTGAAAGGTATTGTATTGTATGGCTACTAAGGTTACAGTGTTTGATTTATTCATACGGGCATTATTATTTCTATTAAAAATAATGTTATTAAAGAAATAAAGGTTGCTTTTAGTCATGATCCTATATCAAATTTTTGTTTCACAATCTGGTATCTACTGGTTTTGTTTAATGTTTTCGTTTTGAGAAACTATTCTAGTTATATGCAATTAGCCATCCTCGAAAAGAATTTCATTTACATTATCAAGATTCAAAGTATATTGTTATTTTCCTTGTAAGCTTGACTGTTCAAATCATTAGACAATATCGATATAACAAAGATGTTTGTTTGCAGTGTATAATATCTTGCCAAAGGCTATTCGAGCATTGCTAGAAACATGTTTGGTAATGAAGCGTAACATCGAGTTGATAAATTCCCAGAAGAAATAATGTAAAATTTTACGAGTAAATAATCAAGAGTTGCTTAAAACCAAAACAAAGACTACTCTCCTTGATGTTGATTTTTTTCTTGTTATTATAGATATATTAATTGGAAGAAAAACTGTTACTCAAAATAGTAGATATCACTTCACATGGCACAGATTATTTACAATTTAAAGAACTTTAATGAAGCAAAAGAAAGGACCAGCATCTTGCAATTTTTGGCATTTTTGAAGGGAATACTTTTTTGAGTTTTCCCAATTTCGTCGTATATCACAACACTTGTAACTATATTATGGCTTTTTTGCCTCTAATTAAATATACAATCATACTATGAAAGATATAAAGTATTTAAGGGGTATTATTCTGTACTACAGACAATTAATAAATGAGAAAACTGATTGTGCATTGGATTCTAGTTAAAGGTATTCTGTCAATGAATGGCAATGGAATATTATTGTTTCCAACCAGAAAATACTACATTATTTCCTAATGTAAAATGTATTAAGTAAAGAAACAGTAAATCATATTCACAATTAAGCATACAACTATTTTTTTGCC